ATTTTTTATTTTGATCAATAAAAAACTTACAATTAATTATTTATTTTTTAAAAAATTAATTTATATTATAAACGTGTTTAATTTTAGTTAATAAGTCTATACAAAAAAGTAATAATTAATCATAAAACATTATTTTGAGTAAATATTAAATAATAAAAAAGTATATAAAAATAAATAAATAAATAAAGAGGTTGGGCTGAGCTAATAACAAGCTCATTCGTATGAGCCTAGAGACAACCAAGCCCATGTGGTTGGGTTGGAAGCATAGTTCAACCATAAAAAGTTACAAGGACCTATTTGCAATACATCTTTAATTAAGGGATCGTTTTGAATAAAGTTATAAATCAAACTACTAAAGTATAAAAATTTGACAAATTGAAAAATATCATTTTTTTTTTTAAAGAAAAAGTCATAGATTCAAGCCAAAAAAGTTCAAAACGACATCAATTTGGTTGGTTGTAGCGAGGCTTAACTATATTGAAACACCATTCTCTTTTAAATTATTTACTAGCATGGTACTATCATCTTGCTGCACCTAAGTTTATATAATATATTTTATTATTTTCAATAATTAAAAAATCTAAATATAAATTAACATAATATAATTCACCTTAATTAAATTAACCTAATCAATCAACTAATAACTAATTTAAATTAACTCTAATTAACTCTATTGGAAATTAACTTAACTCAATTAGCACTAATTTAGATTGATTAATTAATTAAATTAACAAAAAATCCTAACAACTAACAAACAAATTAACTAATTAATCAAATCTAACGTAACAATTAGCACAAATAGCTAATGAGTATGAAAAAAAACGTGAGAGAACTAACAAATGGGGGAAGCGAGAGGAGAGGAAGGAGAAAAGTTAAACTCTCGGTTTTTGAGGGAGAGAGGAGCGATGTGTCAATTGGAGTATGCTTTGGGGAGGGAGTGGAGTCGCATTGTGTGGCAATTTTGGGCCTAGACAATCGGCAACGAGCAAGAGGAGAAGGAAGAGGAAAAAGAAGTTGGGGAGGAAGAAGAGTTTTTGCTAATTTATGGATTAAGGATTAGCGATGGACGTGATTCCATCATTAATCCGTCGCTAATTAGTGAAGGATTTAAGTGTCCATCACTATTTTGAATTTTAAACTATTGATTTATTTTTTAAAATTTTCGAATCTGGGAAAAAATAGTAACAAAATACATGATTTCATCGCTAATCTATCACTAATTAGCAAAGGATTTATCTATTTGTCATCGAATCGAATTTCAAACTACCATCTTATTTTTTGAAATTTTTAGAAATGGGGGAAGTAGTGACGAAACCTAAGGGTTTGCTTCGAAAAGCAACGAGTTGTTGACCTAACAATGGGAATTAGTGATGAAATTGTTATTCCATTGATAAATTCTCTCACAAATCTGTCACTATTCCATTGCTAGATTAGGCTTGTATTTTTCTTGCTCTATTTAGCAACGGAACTTTATCTCGTCACTAACATTCCATCGAATTTAGTTTCTAAACTTTGCATTTCATTTTGGTCGGTATTTTGTCACAAAACCGTCGCTAAATAGCGACGATTTTGCATCTATCGTTAATTTTTGACGCTAATCCACAATTTAAATATATCCTCGAAATATTTTTATTTTGATCAATAAAAAACTTGAAATTAATTTTTTATTTTTTAAAAAATAATTTATATTATAAGAGTGTTTAATTTTATTTAATGAGTCTATAAAAAAAAGTAAATATTAATTATAAAAAAATATTTTGATTAAATAATAAATAAATAAATCAGTATAAAAAAGCAAAAAAAAAAAAAAAAAAAACGAGGTTGGGTTGGGCTAACGCCAGCCCATCCGTATGGGCTTGGAGCCAACCAAACTCATGCGGCTGGGCTGGATTGCTTGAAGCATAGCCCAGCCATAAAAAAGTATAGGGACCTCTATGTAATACATATTTAATTAAGGAATCGTTTTGAATAAAGTTATGAATCAAAGGGTAAAAAAAAAGGACAAAAAATAACCTTTTTTTTTTTTTTGAAAAATCGACGTCGGTTCAAGTTAAAAAGACTCAAAACAACGTCACTTTGACTTATTTTAACCGGACTTAGCTATAGTAAAACACCACTTTGTTTTAAATTATTTACTAGCATAGTATGTGCCTTGCGACGAGTAAGTCTATATAATATATTTGATTATGTTAAATAAAAAAAAATCTAAGTGTAAAATAAAACTTAATTAACACTGATTTTAAGAATTTATTGCTATACCTAGGGACATGGAGTGGCCCCAAACGTGCTCAAACCAATCTACTCTGCTATTCCTTACTCCAAGTTCCTCCTGCAATCTCCTGGAATTGAAGACTCCATTAGGAGAGAGTTTCCTCTTGACAGAATCATCATCATTACTTGAAGGAAAGACAACACCACAAATAGCAGTTTGTATGCTGGGCATTTCATCTGAACTAGCACTAGGCCAATACCAATCTCCATTTGAGATGAAATCACAAAATTTAGCATTGGAAGGAAGGTCTGATTTCCAGCAATCTTAGTCAAAGGACCTAGAGGACGGCAATTATCACAAAAAATAACCTTTTTTGTTGGGAAAACGACGAGGGGTTCAAGTTAAAAAGACTCAAAACAACGTCACTTTGACTTATTTTAACTGAGACTTAGCTATAGTAAAACACCACTTTGTTTTAAATTATTTACTAGCATAGTACTTGTGCCTTGCGACGAGTAAGTCTATATAATATATTTGATTATGTTAAATAAAAAAATCTAAGTGTAAAATAAAACTTAATTAACACTGATTGTGAGAATTTATTGCTATACCTAGGGACATGGAGTGGCCCCAAACGTGCTCAAACCAATCTACTCTGCTATTCCTTACTCCAAGTTCCTCCTGCAAATCTCCTGGAATTGAAGACTCCATTAGGAGAGAGTTTCCTCTTGACAGAATCATCATCATTACTTGAAGGAAAGACAACACCACAAATAGCAGTTTGTATGCTGGGCATTTCATCTGAACTAGCACTAGGCCAATACCAATCTCCATTTGAGATGAAATCACAAAATTTAGCATTGGAAGGAAGGTCTGATTTCCAGCAATCTTGGTCAAAGGACCTAGAGGACGGCAATTATCACAAATGAAAATCATTCTTTCCATTCCTAATACTACGCACTCATTTGGGATATCCGTGCTCCAAATACTTCTATTCTTCTACAACGACCCTGATTTTGGAAGCAAACTCCAGGAATTTGAGTATAAAGAAACTGAAGGATATATATTTAATTTATCTGACTATAATCTAAATCTAAAGGCAAGAACAAACATGGCCAACACATGCTTGTGTTTGAAGAAAACACAAGTTAAAAACATGCAACGGTACAACTCAGTTTAGGGAAAAGGAAGAACAGCATTGAATAAAACCAATAATTACTAGCATATCAGTGCTGTTAAAGGAAGAATTCACAATTCACAGACATGCGTACAAGTAACTCTGAACAGTTCCCCATTTCTTGGGTTTTAAGCATATAAATTCTGCTTGCTTAAGTTCTCTTAGCAGTCTCTGTGATGGATGGTGCTTAATGCATATGTTGCATATTAAAATCTATCAATTTTTTTAGTAGGAATATCCTTAAATGGTGCAAATGAATTGCAAAAGTAGGCCATAATCTTTATATCAAGACGTCATTTGTAGTTAACATATCCTCAAGCTAGCTAACTAGGAAAGAAGATTGGATAACAAGGAAAATAGGCAGAAGAGAATTCACCATGATGACCTGATGACAGAATTTCTTGTTTGCTGAGGTTGTCATGAACTAATTATTAACATCAAATGACACCAGGAGTTCCCCCAAACACTTCAGTGGGAATTACAATGTATACTCTTCGGGTCGGAAGAGTCCTAGTGAAGTGTTCAAGGGAACTCTAGGGGACACTTGATCTATGCACCATTGCACCTATACTAAATTACTAATCCTTGTTGTTTATATGCTCAGTAATGATTAGCAGCCACGCTACTTATAGGAACTGTTTTATACAGAAGCTAGCCGTACAGAGTGAACCTGGACGCAACAATAGTCTCTATGAATGGCAGATTGTAACCAAAAGTAAGATTCTACTCTTTTCTTTTCTTTGATGACATCTATCCGGCCTTTCCTTATCAGATTTTAGAGGTAGATAGTATTTAGATTCTACGAGAATATACATACATTACACTAAAATTTGATCACAACAAAGATTCTATTCTTTTCGCACAAATTTGATAAATAAGCACCCCTTTCAAGTATTTGTAATTCTTGAAGCTCTTATACGTTCAAAAGGACAAAAGATATGCTAAAGATTATTTGAGAAAAATAAAGTTAAAGAAAAATATGAGAGCAACTTAAAAATGTGGAAATCTTATGATTTCTCTCAAGCCTAATGACAGGAAGCTGCATAATTTATGTTGGAAAAATAGAAAAATATTATTTAAAAATCTTGAATGGAAAAAACCCTAAAGCAATTTTACTAAATTTTATAGATGACTGTCTTGAAGTACAACTAAATTGTTTTTTTGAGACGATACGCATCGCATATAGAATTTTATCCGATGTAATGAATCAATGATTTATTGCACGCCATCTCGGAGATACAACAAGCTTAGTCATCTTATCGTATCCTAACAAGTTTGCATTACTTGTAAGACATGAAAATCAATTATAAATTAGTACTCCTCTTGTCCAAAGAAAAATTAACAAAAATTAATATAGCTTTTAGTAGGAAACAAAAGCATTAAAATTGAAAGAAACGTTTTTCTTTCTAAGCAAAAAAAAGAAAAAAATGATTGCTATTTTTTCACTCTCCAAAAGGTAAGAAATTGTTGCTGTTATAGTTGTGGTTTTCATCAAATGACAAGAGCCCATTTATATAGTGTAAAAATTATTCGTTAGACAATTGAATTAATTAACAAATTAAATGGTAAAAAAAAAAAAACATTGAGAATGAATGCAAAAAGCCATTTGTTAATTGAATAGAAAAATGAAACTATTGTAGCCTTTCTTTTAAAAGTACCATTCAATCGTTAATGGAATAAAATGGTATTTTGTGATTGTTGAAACAATACACATTACTGTTTCAGCAGAAGGTGTGGTTTACCTGTTACTGAGGGCTAATATTGGAAGGAGATTTTGTTACACAAATTACTATTAGATCTAGACCATTCTCTCCTGTATTTACAAACACTAGACATTTTTTAATTTTCCCAATTACTATTTGTTTATTACTGTTTGATTTAGAACATTTAACTTTCAATATATTGGAGTCTCAAAATTGATGGCTGCTGTTGTATGCTGCTACAGCGAAGGAAAATCTCAACTTTGGAACAAGGTTAAGCATTGCTTTGGGTGCAGCAAAGGGCATTCTTTACCTCCATACTGAAGCGGACCCTCCAGTATTTCACCGAGATATCAAGGCCAGCAATATTCTTTTAGACTCTAAGCTTACTGCTAAAGTTGCTGACTTTGGACTCTCCCTTCTTGCCCCTGTCATGGATGATGAAGGATATCTACCTAATCATGTATCTACAGTAGTGAAGGGAACTCCAGTGAGTTTTCTTCTACTTATACTGCATTCAAATATTGATCTAGTAACTTCTTATTTAACACTAAAGGATAGAAAAAAATTTGATGTCAGGTAAATATTGCTTGTGAGTCTGGTATGATGTTCTCTATCATAGACAGCAGAATGGGTTCCTATCCATCTGAATGCATCGAGAGATTTGTAGCCTTGGCACTGAGGTGTTGCCATACCAAGCAAGAGAAACGGCCATCAATGCTGGAAGTGGTTAGGGAACTAGAAAACATACTCAGAATCTTGCCAGAAACGGATACTACTGATATAGAATCTGCTTCCACATATTCCGGGAAGACCGCACCTGCATTTTCTGGCATGTTAGCATCTTCATCTTCATTCTACGCAAGCAGGGATGCATCCAAGTCGTCCACTCTTTTGGGAAGCGATATTAGCAGTGGCGTCATCCCCCTTACCGCCTCGTTGATATCAAAACTAGAAAACTCTGTGTGCTTATTAATCTCCCCCACCCCACCCCCACAAATCGTGCAGTTTAGTGAGATATGTAAAGTGGGTTTGATTCCCAAATGCCGCATTTTAATTAATAGTAAGAAATCTGCTTACAAAGTGAAGAATTATTTCACAATAAGAAGATTAGATCTCACAGATGGAAATCTGTACAGTCAATAATTAAGATGTGGTCTAATCTGGCCAAGTGTGAGCTGCAGCTATTTGCGTTAGTCCTCTTATTGGCTTTTTGAAATGGAATGTAAATGGATCTTCATTGGATTAATAATACGTTCCAATAAGCAGGTTTAAGCGGAGAAACATGGAATGTAAGATGGATTAAGGACCTTAGAGGAAGTGGCAATGTCTAAGCCACTTCCCCGGCTTTGTCCACAATCTGAAAAAGTGCCATAATACTTAGGAGCTAACTTATGATTGTTCCTTGAAACCACATAATATTGCGTAAGCTTGAAGCTTAAGGTAGACCTAATCTCCTATTTGAAACACTCTTTTAGACCTTGTCTTCTTGCACTTTCATACGATGTTAAGCCTTAAGTAGCAGTCCCTTTAACAATGCTACTACATCTTCTTTATCTTGTAAAAGCTGGTTCACACTAGGATCCTTGCAATCATTAGGAAGATAAGGAAGATGAATTAGGGGTACATACCCATACAAAGCCTCAAAAGGAGATTGTTGAATGGCTGAATGGTAAGAAGTGTTGTACTAAAATTCTTCCGGACACAACCATTTACCCCAAGTTTTTGGTAGATCAAAACACACACATACGAGATAGCTTTGCAAACACCTATTGACCACCTCGGTTTGACCATCGGTTTGAGGATGGTAAGTTATAGACAAATGCAAAGAAACTCCTTGATATGTGAAAATTTCTTTCCAAAATCTGTTGAGAAAAATAGAATCCCTATCTAAAACAATAGTATTCGATAGACCATACAATTTAAACACATGCTCCATGAATGCTTGAGCTACTTGTGTAAGTTTGTGAATGGATGAGCTAAAGCTATAAAGTGTGCATATTTGATCAACCTATCGACCACTACAAATACCACTGATTTTCCATAAGAAGGCAATCCCTCAATGAAATCCATTGAGATATCGGTAAAAATAAGCGTAGGTAAAGGCAATGGGGTCAATAAACTAGGGTAGGCTACATTCTCATATTTGCACTCTCGACAAGTTTTACATTGTCTTACATATTCCCTTACTTCCTTTCATAACCCTTTCCAATAAAACAATGAAGCTACACTTTTTGATAGTGCCTTTAACTCTAGAATGACCACCTGAATAGGAATCATGACACACTAAAATGAGTTCCCTATGTAACTCGGAATCTCTTCCCACCACTAATTTACCTTTCCTTTGTAGTTGAGAGTTCTTCCATTCAAACTTAGATTGACTTCCTCTTGTAGTTTGCAAGCTGTGTTATGAGTGTTTTTAACACGGAATCTTCTTCCCACGACTACTTGATCCTATCCAACAAATCAATGAATATTAAAGACATTGCCAAGATAGAAAAGCGCACCCTTGATAATGCATCCGCCACTTTGATTATCCTTGCCCTTTTTATACACAATATCATAGTCATACCTCATTAATTTCACTAACCAAGTAAATTAGCTTTTAGTGTGCACTTGTTTGTTCTAAGAGATGTTTCAAACTTTGATGATCAATCCGAACGATGAAATGTTTATGCATCAAGTATTAGTGCCACTTCTTGACGAGCAAAGAGAATGGCAATTAATTTCTTCTCATATACTTGATAAAGTTTGATGCTTAGGAGATAAAAGCTTACTAATGAAGGAAATGGGATGTCTTTTACGTATTAACAATGCTCCAATTCCATTGTCGGATGCATCAGTCTCTATTGTGAACTCTTCTTCCCATTTTAGTAGTATCGGCACTAGAGTTGTGGTCATTGCCAACTTTAATTCTTCAAAGGCTAACTTAGCAACAAGATTCCATCCAAAAGCGTCCTTCTTAACCAAGTCTGTTAGTTCCTTAGCAATTCTTTCATACCTCTTCACAAACCTTCGTAATATCCAATGAGACCTAAGAAACCTCTCAACTGTTTGAGATTTTTAGGTCTAGGCCACTATCGAACCACTTCAATTTTGCTAGGATCGGTTTTCATCCCCTGTTCGGAAATGTAATGTCCTAAGTATTTCACCTTTGGAGTGCCAAAGGTGCATTTGGATTCTTTGACTAATAAGGAGTTTTCTTGTAAAACGCTCAATACGATTTTAAAATGTTGTTGATACCCATGAATGGTTTTGATATATATTAAGATGCAATCAAAGAAAACTAGAATGAATTTCCTAAGATATGGTCTGAAAATATCATTCATGAGTGCTTGAAAAGTACTAGGAGCATTAGTTAAACCAAAAGGCATAACCAAATATTCATAATGCCCACTATAGGTATGGAATGTTGTTTTTAGAATATCGGTTGTGTTCATCCTAATTTAGCGGTAACCGACTCTAAGATCAAGTTTTGAAAAAACCACGGAACCATGTAATTCATCTAAGAGTTCTTCAATGATGGGAATTGGAAAGTGATCATTGACGAGTCAAATTTTTAAGCTTCATATAATCCACACATAAGCTCCAAGAATTGTCCTTCTTTTTTAACAACACCACAGAGAAGAAAAAGGACTTATACTGGTTTCGATTATCCCGACCTCTAATATTTCCTAAACTCTGCTTCTCTATTTCATCCTTTTGAACGGCATGATACCTATAAGGTTTCGTACTTACTAGTTTAGCTCCTTCCTTCAGCACTATTCTATGATCATTTAACCTATGGGGTGGTAACCCTTTAGGCTCTTCAACACTCTTTTGAATGTCTCCAATATCGCCACCAATATTTCGAAACCTTGTTATTTAATTCCAACACAAAAACCTCTTTATCCCACCCTTCATTACGCAACTAATGAATCTATATTTGTAAACAATATTAGTTCATGAGCAAGATAAGAAGAAAAAAGAAGTTACGAGAGAAGGAAACGTAAAACGAGCATGAGAAGCCAAAAATAGAGTATATCACACTTTAATATTCGGTACAAATATATACATGGTACTGTAACACATATATTACTGTAGCAATACCAATCCAGACTTACAAAAGTATTTCAAAATAAAATTCCACAAAATAAGGAGCTTCACTCCTTTTAAACTAACCAAGGATTATAAAAGGATACTTAAAGTATCTATAAAATTCTTAGATTTAACACTCCTCCTTGAGAATTTTCTTGGAAACTCCAAGCCTTGACCGTAGCTCTTCAAATTTGGCTTTGGAAAGTGCCTTAGTTAGTATATCGGTAATCGATTTTCTAAGCAACAATGAATCGGATTGACTTCACCATTTTTCTTTGCTTCTCTTATTGCATGAAACTTCAAATTGATATGTTTGGTTCTTCCATGCTGCATGGGATTCTTTGCAATAGCTATGGTTGACTTGTTATCAACCTAAATTACGAGTAGTATCATCCGAACTTTGCCCCAAATATGTCAGCGACTTTCTTAACCAAATTGCTTGGTTTATAGGCTACTGCTTGCAAGCAATATACTCGACTTCTGCGAGGATTGAGCTACCACCTCTTGCTTTCTTGAATTCTATGAAAATATTCAACTTCCAAATGAGAAAGCATAACCAGAAGTGCTCTTGGAATCATCTATACTTCCTACCCGATCACTATCCGTAAATCCTTGAAGCTTATTACTTTCTTCTTTAACAAACCACAAATCATAATCAAAAGTACCTATGATATATCTTAAAACTCTCTTAGCTGCACCAAGATGAATTTGACTCGGTGAGTGCATAAATCTAGAGAGCAAGCTTGCATAGAACATTAAATCTGGCCTTGTAGCGAGATAAGTACAAGCAAACTACCAATTAGGCTTCGTAAACAGAAGCATCCGTTTTGTTGGCAACATCATCCTTTGATAAGTTCTCATTCACAATCAATGGAGTTGCCATTAGTTTGGATCTTTCCATATGAAACTTCCTCAAAACTTCCAGGGCATACTTTTGTTGTGAGATGAAGATTCCAGCATCATTTTGGTGAATTTCCATGCCCAAAAAATACTTTATCTCACCCAAATTGGACATTTCAAAATCACTCTCCATCTGCGACATGAATTTCTTCAAGATTTCATAATTATAACCTATAACCAACAGGTCATCTACATACAAAGAGACAATAAGCTGAATTTCATCTTGAACCTTCATCATATATAAAGTAGCTTCACTTTCACTTCTTTTGAATCCTTGTTGCAGCAAACAAGCATCAATTCTACTTGTACCAAGCTCTTGATGCTTGTTTTAAGCCATAGAGAGCTTTGTGGAGCTTGTAAACTTTGTCTTCACTACTTGAAACCTTAAATCTTTCGATTGCTGAACATAAATATCATCTTCAAGCACACCATTTAGAAAAGCTGACTTCACATCAAGATGATGAATTTTCCAGCCCATCTTTGTTGCTTAAAGCCATTAGAAGCTTCGATAGTATCATGCCTAGCAAGCTGGAGCAAAGGTGTCTGAAAAATCAACACCATGCTCTTGAAAATATCCCTTTACAACTAATCTAGCCTTAAGTTTATTTACAAAACCATTTGGATTATATTTGGTTCGAAAACCCACTTAGCTGAGATTTGAAAGAGGCATTGTGTTCTTGGAAGCTATGAGAGTTTAAAGTTTGAGTTTTTTAAGGTTTTTTAGAGAGGAGTCTTTGCTTGGTGTTCTCCCTTAGTCACTCACGGGACATTTAAGATCTTTATAAGCTGCGATACCATGTAAACAATATCGGTTCATGGGCAAGATAAGAAGAAAAAAGAAGTTATAGAGAAGGAAACGTAAAACGAGCATGAGAAGCCAAAAACGAGTATATCACACTTTGATATTACGGAACAAATATATACATAGTATTGTAGCACATATATTACTGTAGAAATACCAATCCAGCTTACAAAAGTATTCCAAAACAAAATCCCACAAAATGAGGAGCTTCACTCCTCTTAAACTAACCAAGGATTACAAAGGATACTTAAAGTATCTAGAAAATTCTCGGATTCTAATAGTATCCAACTTAATTGTTGCTATTTACAAATTGCCATATCAACCTCTACTTCTTCTTGACTTTTTATTAGCTTGGCACTTTTCCCTT